AATGATGAGGGCAATGAATGTATAAATGTGCTTTACACAATTGATGTATTGTGATAAGAGTTGTATGAGCCCCTAATAAAACGATTAAAACAAAACAAAACAAAACAAAAAAGAAAAAAAAATGAGGTGAGCAGAGCATGAATCATAAACCTCCAGGTAAAACTTAAGCTTTGAGGAGGAAGCACAGGCAGGTATGTTTGGAATGCTGGGTTAGGCAGGGTTCTTGGATATAATAGTAAAAGCACAATCTGTAATAGAGGTAAGTCAGACAAGTTTAAAAAGCCTTGCTTTGTATGAAGACACTACTAAGAGAATAAAAAGCCTTATGTCCTGAAGTAAGACAAAATCTTTTAAAAATGCAGTTGCATCCAGAATACACAAAGGATTCCAAAAATCAACAAGAAAACAAAGAAGCCAGTTTCTAAAAATGGGCAAAAGATATAAACAGACATAACACCAAAGATATAAACTCATTCTGCCATCGAGGTGATTCTGAATCATAGTGATCCTGTAAGGCATAGTAGAACTGCCCTTTGGTTTTCCAAGACTGTTGTAAATCTTTAAAGGAGCAGAAAACTCCAAAAGCCCATCAAGCTGATTGTGACTCATCACGACCCTGTAGGACAGGGTAGCACTGTCCCTAGGGGTTTTCCAAGACTAACTCTTCACCATTATAAAAGTCCCATCCTTCTCCACCGGAGCGGCTGGTGATTTCAAGCTGCACCCTAACGTTTACACACAAAGCCGCCAGGGCTCTTCACAGAAGCAGAAAGCCTGATCTATTCCTCGATGAGTGGCTGCTAGGTTCAACCTGATGATCGTGGGTTTGTAGGTCAACACGTATCCACTATGCCACCAAGGCTTCTTAAAAATATAGATTAGTAATAACTAAAATCCTCTGCCATTCTGTTAATTCCAACTCATAGTAACCACATAGAGAGTTTCTAAGGCTTTGTAAATGTTTATGAGAACATGAAGCCTCATCTTTCCCTGTGGGCAAGCTGGTGGGTTTGAACAGCCAACGTTGAGGTTAGCATCCCAACATTTCTCCAACAGACCACCAGCGTGCTTTTCCTTCAAAGAAGATATAGATGTGGTAAACAGATGACAAAGGGTTTTGTTTTGTTTTGTTTTGTTTTCTGGAGGGGAGGGGGAGAATCTTACTAGCCAAGAAGCAGTGGCACTGTGGGTTAAGCACTGCACTGCTAACCCTGGGTTGAAGGTTTAAACCCACTAGTTGCTCTATGGGAGAAAGATGAGGCTGTCTGTGCCCATGACTTACAGGGTGAAGTTCCACTCTGTCCTATGGAGTTATTATGAATCAGAATTGGCTTGATGGAAACTGTACGAATCAGAAAGTGGGTGGTTCAAACAAACCCAGAGGCACCTTACAAAACTCAGAACTCAAACATGGCCACCAAGTTGATTCTGATGCATAGTGACCCTATAGGGCAGGGTAGAATTGACCCTTGGGTTTCCAAGACTGTAACTCTTTACTTAAGTAATTAAAAGCCTTGTCTTTTTCCCGTGGAACAACAATCAGTGGCTTTGAACTGCTTGCTGACCTTGTGGGTAGCAGCCCAACGAGTAACCACTACACACAAGGCAGGTCAGCAGCTTCCAAAAGCTCACACCTTGAAAATCTTTTCTAACAGTTTACTATGCACACATGGGTCACCATGAGTCCAAATGGACTGGACAATAACTACAACAACCATATTTAGGAACAAACACTGCCAATCAGTAGAGAAATCCAAATTTAAATCACAAGGAGAAGCCACTGGATACAACAGGGGACCCAAGGAGCAGACCGTCCACTACTGAAGGGAGACAAAGGCACACCCAGAATGGTGGTGGCAGCGGAAGATCTGAGATTTCAAGTGGGAGCAGGCAGAACAAGGGCAACCAAGTCAGTGTGGGGCAGGTCATACACAAGTGAAAATTTCCTCGTGAATCTGAGTATCATGGAAGAAGAGTTAGACATTTCTCTGGGTATTCAGGGTAATCAAATTATTAGTAAATAACTAATCAACAATCACAGAAAATGATAGCTATTAACTCCAGAGAAAACAGGTTGTGCAGAAAAAGTATCTCACACAATTTTGCTACAGTGTTTATAGTCATTACAAAAAGGGCAAAACTGAATACTGACCTAACCAAAATTAAGGCATCAGCCTAACAGCAGGCTGGCGTGTTTTGAGGCAAAAGTTAGAAGTGTGTTTGGAGTTGGGGAAATGAGGTCACAGACTCAGTTGAGTTGATTCCAACTTACTGTGTTGCAGATAACTACTGAGTTTTTGAGGACAGATTTTTCTGAAGTAGACCGACTTTTCCTCCAAGGAGCACCCCAACAAGTTATCATTTGCACCCACCTAGAGACTCCCACCAAAGTTATGAGGCCAGGGGTGGGCTTTAAGAGTTCATTCTTCCATGGGGGAAGTTAACAGGCAACCGGACTACAAAATAAGAGTGAAAGGCAGTTCCTTATGGCTAAGGTTCTGCAGAAATGTGGGGAAGGACGCCCTGGTTCTCATAAGCCTTCTAGAACTATTTTAGTATTGACTGAAATAGAAACGATGTAAAAGTTACCTGGTTGTTACTTTGGAAACAAAGTATTGGTGAACATGTGCAGAACCTGAGTAAACAGGAAATAACCCCATTACCCTGGAGAAGTTAAACATTAAATGACTATAGGGTCACTAGGAGACGAAGCCAACTGGATGACAGTAAGTTTCGTTTGTTTGGTGAGGGGTGAAGGGGTCTTGGTGGCGCAGTGGGTTAGGCTTAGGGCCGGTAACCGAAGGCAAGTGGAGCGATGGGGCAGTCTGCCTTGGCTACTCTAGTAGCAGTTCTAGTATGTCCTATAGGGTCGCTATGAATGGGAATGAGGGGTCACTACGCGTGTGGTCACTCCACAGCAGTGGGGGTTGTGTTTTGTTTTTGCTGAGGAGTGCTTAGCAATTAACTTTCCACAAACACAAAACAGGGCGTATTGAAGGGTTTTTGAGAGCGAGAGAAACTGCGACTCGTAGGTTTCTTCTCCTGAGTGGATTGTAGAAGTAGAATTTTGATGAGAGAGGCAAGTTCAGGAAAAGGCAGAATGGAAAAAAAGCAAAGGCCTGGATGGTTCAGATTTATTTACGTGGGCCACCATCGATTTTAAACGTTTCCAACAAGTCAGAGATGAGAACAAGGGATGGATGTAAATTACCAAGAAGCACGCTGCAACTCATCCTGTGATCGATCCTATGGTCAAGCCTGGCCGATGGTCAAGCCTGGCGGTCGGCCGCCATCACGCAAGTGCTCATCTCAGGGAGCCGCCCTGGCCAGTGGTGGTGGTCAGTGATTCCCTCAAGGCGGAAGCACCCGCGAGAACTTTTAACACTTGGGTCGCCTTTCAGAAACAGCAAGAGGGGGTCCCCCAGGGGCAGGGCAGTTTTCACGTGCCGGTTCCCGCGCTTTCGTCGAAGCCCAGCCCCGGGGAGCGGCTGCGTGAACGGGCCCGCGCGCACGTCCCGGGAGCCAGGGGCCGCGCGAGGTGGCGTGGGAGGGCGCGGGGCCTGCGAGGTGGCAACTCTCCAGGTCCCAGTCGCCCGGGGCGCCCGGGGCCCCTGGGACCAATGCACGCGGGGACCTAGCGCGCCACACGTGAGGGGCGGAGCAATTCACCCCTCGCCTCAGGCGGGATCGCTCACCCGACGGCACGTAGTCCTCATCTTCCTCCGAGGTGGAAAAGTCTTCGGAGTCGAATTCCTCCATGTCACTGCCACGTGGCAGGCAAACCCGCGGGATCACAGCAGCTACCCCCAGCAGCGGAGCTCTAGGGAGAGAGCATAGAAGCGCGGCGGAGGCAGCAAGCAGGGTGGGTGCTACCGAGTTTGCGCACGCGCAGAGCGCCACATGGCCGAAATCACGACACTTCCGGGCCCGCAGCCCCAGGCGGACGCGGCTCGGTGCGGCTGTTGGAGTCGCAGGAAGCGGTGCATGCTGGGACTCGTAGTCTTTAGCGCTATGTCCTCGCATTGATTTAATACTCGTAAATAAGCTAAGAGTCAGAATCGAATCGATCCCAGTGAGTTTGGTTTGTTTTGAAAATAGGTTTAATCAATACTATTTTGTGGAAATGAGTATTCACAGGAACCCAAAGGTTAACACAAATCGAAGTGCAACCGCCTATAACCTTCTTTGTTTGCTCTCAGAGTAACACTTTTTTGGGGGGGTAGTTTATGTTTCAGGGACAAATGCTTTGGGAGTACAGTCAGTGACACTCAGAGTGAGGCTGGCATAACGTACCAGTCCCCGGGCACCGAACTGGTGGTGGACTATTAACATAGATTATCCAATGTATCAAATAGCGAGAATGGGTGCATTACACTGTACTTGTTGAAACTAAGAAGGGATATGGTAGGTGTTTTTCACCACAATAAATGAGTATAATTCAACTAGGGGGTCAGAATCAGAAGTGAATGCATTAGATAATGAATATCAGACCCCCGTTTGTTCACACAAGCACTACTAGGCATACGTCCTTTAGCTGGAAAGTGCCCCTTGTCAATATCTTGGACCAGACTGGGTGTGTGTCCTAGGCTAAACATCGTTGCCAGGAGCCCACGCAATCCCATCTGCATCAGCACAGAACTGCGCTCCATCTGGTTTTTCATGACCCACAAAGTATGTTAGGGAATGACCTTAGACACCATCAACCGGGCGACTGTGGATCGAATAATTCGGGTGGATCACACAGGCGAATATGGCGCCAACCGCATCTATGCAGGGCAGATGGCGGTCCTGGGCCGGACCAGCATTGGGCCAATCACCCAGAAAACGTGGGGTCAGGAGGAGCATCTGAAGAAGTTCAGTGAGCTGATGCTGATGGTGGCACTCAGGGTCTGGCCGACGGCTCTCATTCCCTTTTGGAACGTGATGGGGTTTGCCCTGGCAGCGGGCCCCCGCCTTGCTGCGGAAGGAAGGCGCGGTGGCTTGCACCTTGGCTGTGGAAGTCCATTTCACATCACTGTAACGACCAGATCCGGACGCTGATGGAGGAGGGGCCTGAGAAGCACAAGGAACTCCTTCAGGTCATAAAGGAGTTTCGGAATGAAGAACTTGAGCACCGCCACACAGGCCTTGAGCACGATGCCTAGCTGGCGCCCGCATACGCCCTTTTGAAGAGGACCATCCAGGCTGGATGCAGTGCGGCGATCTATTTGTCAGAAAGATTTTAAATCGTGCCACTTGTCCCCATCTAGAAGACAGTTGTCATTTTACAGGTGATTTTTTTTTTCCAGAAAAGAAAATGAATAACTATTTTAAATCGTGCCACTTGTCCCCATCTAGAAGACAGCTGTCATTTTACAGGTGATTTTTTTTCCAGAAAAGAAAATGAATAACTATTGTTATGTAAGTTTTCTTACCGAACTGTGAACATCCTCCCTCTCCCCCTTTAATGAAAATCCCCCGTGCTAACTTCTCTCCAGGCTGCTCTTAAGCCGAAAGGACAATGTATTCAGCAAACACATTCAACTGATGGCAAATGAAGGCTTCTTTATTTGATCTCACAGCTGGGTTCTCCTAATGCCTCCAAAATGAATCGTTAATAAAGTCACAGATCTTGAGGAGGAAAAAAAAAAGAATTTTACCTGAAGTTAGCAAAAAGTTGAGCGTAAAATAAACAAATTGTTATAAAAACAAGAAACAACCAATTCTACCTTACAAATCTGGCTAGACCAGAGGATGTACACTGGTACAGATAGGAACTGGAAACACAGGGAATCCAGGGCGGATGATCCCTTCAAGACCAGTGCTGAGAGCAGCGATACTGGGAGGGTGGTTTGGAAAGGGAGAACCAATTACAAGGATCTACATGTGACGGATAACAGAAAAGTGGGTGAAGGGAGACATTGGACAGGGCAAGATATGACAAAATAATAATTTATAAATTATCAAGGGTTCACGAGGGAGGGGGGAGTGGGGAGAGAGGGAAAAAATTGAGCTGATGCCAGGGGCTTAGGTGGAGAGCAAATGTTTTGAGAATGATGAGGGCAATGAATGTACAAATGTGCTTTACACAACTGATGTATGTATGGATTATGGTAAGAGCTGTATGAGCCCCCAATAAAATGATTAAAAAACAAAACAAAACAAGAAACATGTCTGAGGACTTTATTGCACAGGATTAAACTCATTGGCCACTAAAAAGAACTGCAATCTCAGCTCACAGAGTTGAAAGTAATTATTTATTGATAAACATTTATACCAGAATTAGAAATGTCAGTAGAAAAATAAAATTTAAATAATTCTCCATTGTACAAAGATTTGATCATTTAGATGGCAGCAGTTAGTGAAATAATCTAATACAAAAAAGTTATGCTGATTTTAGTCACAACCAGCCTTGCGGAATACACAAATAAGAAATGCATATACACAAAACTTTCTGCATGTGGATAAAGAATGGCACCCGGGCTCACATTCCAGGAAATGGTTCCTTAGGGAAGGCTGGTATGCACTGCAGTGTAATAACGTAATTCAAACCAGAGCAGCCAGACAGGGCATTGGAATCAAAAGCTAACCTACAATTTAAAAATACGGCATAAAAGTACTTTATAGGCATGAACTATTCCTCATTACACATTTCATAAGAAATATATATATATTTATTTTATTTTGGAAAATGAAATTAGAAGCACATAGTAGAAGGCAGGCTAGAGAAAGGCAGCTTTCTCTTGGAATAATCACTACCCTTTTGTATATGGACTTCAGATTTTATGAATGCCTTCACCTCAAAAGCAAAAGAGGATGCATAGGTGGGGAGAGGGGAGAGTTGTATATGTCTCCAACAAAAAGATGTTAGCAAACATTCTCAAAAACTACATACAGTAGGATGAAATGTTTAACATAAATGCTCATATTTTTCCATCTGAACAACCACCCCCAAATAGTTGTGTATTTGCGACGTTGTTAAAACAGATAAATAAAAACAAGGGGACTAGACATTCTTTGCCGTTCAAATAGTTTCTCCCAAAAACTTACATCAAGCTTTCATAACTCAAAACTACATCAAAACTAGAGATGAGGAAAAAAAAAAAAACTAGAGATGAGAAGGTTTCAAAAAGTTTGTGGGAAAACAGAATTGAAATAAAACAGGAATTTCCCACAAACCTTGTAGAGCCTCCTCATAGGAGAGTGAGTACCTCACGGTGAGAGATGAAACATTCAGTACCCTGAAGATACATCTTAGAGCTGAAGTCTTTTCCAAGTGTGCTCAATAAAATACAGGAAATAGAACACAGACGGAAACAAAGGCCCAAACATTTCCATCTCGAACACACGTTTGAAGGGCTGGAAGAGTTATAGCAACAGAACGCTTTAGGGAAAAAGCTTAGCGCATGGGGGCTTTTAAAATTTTGTAGAAAAATTTGTCACTTAATTCTATTTTGCCACCAACTCTTTGAAGCCCCCTCATAGGCACCATCTTTCAACAGATGTGATCAGATCATCTCCCACAATAAAGGATACCACCTTTCCCAAATCCCTAAACTGATTCTTTTAGAAACAATCGATAGCTCCTTGATCTGAAAAATGGAGTCTTGAACTAAATATCTGATTAGCAGGAAGACAGGAGGTTTGGAGAATAATCTGATTAGAGAATTTGCAATCCATATCTCCTTACTTCCATCTACCTTAATATCAATATAATTTTGACACATGGTCTAATTGGGCTGATAACAAAATTAAAAAGAAAAATGTCAGGTTAATTTTTTGTGGCTGTAATTTTTCTCTATGACTTTCCCTGATGGTGTTCTTTGCTACTTTTAAGCAAAACCCAGACTGCAGATAGTTTTACACAGATCAGATAACTTACTTCACACAGACCAGTTATGGGTTATGAGCCTTACTCTCGGAACAAAAACTTTCCTTTCAAAATGCCAATGTCACTACCAACAACGATTCTGAAAACAGCGTAAGGACAAATACTGATTGTGTTTCACACAAATCGGGTTCAGCTGTAAGTCACTTCACTTTTGGAATCCTTTCCCTTGTGAAGGTCACTGTTTTCAAACTGAGAGGGAAACTTAGGCAACATGATGGAAATTACAATCGCTAAGACTGAGTTTAAAAGCTCTGACATTGAATTCTTTCGACAGATACACATACTCCTGGAGGAAACCGTGCTGGGCAGAGTGGGGCAGGTCTGAAAACTAAACTGTAGGCACTTGCTGGGAGTTGACACCCAGTCCTGTGGGCTGAGGAGCTTCTGCTGGGAACCACGTTAGGACCAAGAAATTAACCATGGAGTCTAGTGTCCACTGTGCTTCTACAGTTTCCCAAGACTCACTAGGTAAGCCAAAGTGAAGAATTAAAAACATTAACCAGATGTGCACGGTATCCTCTTATTTGTGCCTTCATGCCCAACGTGTGTCTTAATCCAATGTGGCTTAAAATGTTCAACTCATGCCAGTTACACTGCGTGTGTTTCCAATTAAAAGAAACAGAAATTTCATAGACTGAAAGCACTGAGGAAAGGTAGCACAGATGGGGTGAAATCTGAATTAGCAAGCTTATTTTGATAATATGCACAAAACAACAGATTCACATCTCTTAGAACATGTTAAATAATCAGAGGTCAGGAAGGTTATCCACAAAATGTCACATCATTCAAAGATCTTTTTGTTTTTAAATGGCAAAACCAAAGCCCCCATTAGTATCACATTTAGATTTTTTTTCCCCTCAAAAGTACACTTAGCCAAAATCTACTTGGCACTGACTCATGAAAATGTAGCAAACGTAGAATTTACCACATTTTAGACCAAAAAATTAGATAAAAAATTAGATCAACAAAGATTTTAGTTCAGTATGCCCTGCTTAAAAATAAACCATTATTTCCCATAGTTTCTCTAAACATGCAACACTGCATCTTCTCCCAGAATCTCACAAACTTCAGTGTAGGGGCGCCAACTCAGGAGCCCTGACGGCCTGGACTGGGTGAAGCTGTAAAGCTGCTTCAGTTAGATTTTCTACGAAAAGGTAAGCCACGAAACGTGTTTTCTCGTGGTTGAGAAGAGGAGTCCAAACAGATCTTCCAATCCTGGAGCTCTGAACTGCGGAACTGGCTGAGCTGTCAACTTTCTGTTTACCCAAGTTGCTTCCACGTGAAGAAACAAGGAACCCTCACATCCCACAGCGGATTCTTCCTGAGGATTCCACTCAGGTCTCTGTGTTGCACTGTCCTGGCCCCCCGGCACTGGGAGAGAGGCTACAGCGTGGCCAAAATCCGTAAAAAGGAAACCACCACCACACAAAACGTCTGTCCGGTGCCCAAGGTGAGAGCCTCGAAGGGTATCATTTCCTTTCCTGCTGCTCGGTAAACTCCAGCAATCGCTGCGCCTGTTCAAACATGCAAACGTGTTTATTGGTGGGGGGTAGAGGGGGGAGCTGAAGGTTAACATCAGAAGAACAGAGCTCTTTAAATTCTACCAAAAATAGAATAATACAGATTTTTAAAACTTAAGAATTAGAGAAATGTTCTTTTTGTCTTATTTTTATTAACTACTCTAGATTTTACAAATTTCTCATCATTAATAAATCATGGGCAGATGCGTTTTAGAAATTTACGAGTGACTTCTTTAAAAGTGAGCGTCTTTCTGGCTTCCCTGGCAGGAATCAACAAAATCAAGAAGATAGCAATCCCCACAGGACCTGATTAAGAACTGAAAAATCTCTTTGATTCCCCAAGCCAATTAAGCCCTGTGCCTAGCATTTAAAGGCACCTAATAAATTTTTGGCAATACATGACAGCAATTCTTCTGTGTGATTAAATTAAATCACACCAAATGTCAGCATTCATTTAAATCATTTCTGGGCAAAAACTCTTTTGAAGGGAAGTCCCAGGAATCCCTGTGCCACAGTCGCTGATACTCAGAGTTCCCTTCCAACAATAGAGAGTGACGGGAAGTGGGAGAGGGGGTATCCTTCAGGGAAGGCTGCCACACCTACAACATTGTTTCTAACTCAGAGAGTGTGAGGAAAGAGAGAGTTTCTACTGTCCAGTCTTCAATTAATGTTTCTGCCATTAGTTATTTTAACGTCCTAGAAATTAAGAGAACAAAACAAACAGTAACTTGTATCTACCCAGATACACATCTCAACAGCTACAAGGACTCCTCAGCATTGCACCCCCAAAGCAAAGGAAATCCTGGTTTAAAAAGAAGCACTCAAAAAATAAATCTAAAAAATTAAAATAAAAGAAGCGCTCCAAAGCTCTCGGATGACCCTCACTCCCACCCCCTCACAATGCTCCAAACAAGACTCCCCTTGGTCACAGTGTGGTCATTCATTCCAGTGCTGGGTACACACTTCCATGTATTAGAAAGTATGGTCCCTATTCTCGGAGACCTCAGAAGCTAGCTGAGGGCACAAGCATGGAACTGGTTTGGAATAATGTAAGGCAATAACGTGTCTTAATCAAAAGCCTATGTTCTATGATCTGAGGGTCTATTAACATATTTTAACAAGAAGAACGGTGTTAACCAATACCTGATATGGTTGCCTTGGACATTTGTGAGTTTAAATGTCTACCTTTGAGCTACAAACATCTGAAAGCCATTGTTTCATTGGGCCCTTCTGCAATGCTGCTCCCCCCAAAGTGGGTCAGGCTGAAAGAGGCTGAAGGAACATGGCTGGGGCCCTACAGCAGGACTAGGATGATGGAGAAGGAAGACAGCAGAGCAGAAGGGGCAGCAAACTGGGCAGAGGGCAGCCCCACTCTGGAGGGCCTCGAGACTGGGGATGCACACACCGTCCATCACACAGTGACGATGCATTAGGTACCACACGTACCCTCGCTGAGTCAGCGCGTACGTGTTTGAGGAGGGAATTACCGTGCCCACTTCAGATGAGAAAACGGAAGGCAGCTCCTGGGAGCCAGTACTCCCGGAAGGAGGATGGAGAACGGAGCAGAGGACTTCGCCACAGCGGCAGCAGGTGACAGAATTTACAGTGAACACAGCCATTTATGGAAACTCCCTGACAAGGATGGGAGAAAGTTTGCCTCTTCCCCCTGTTATGACTAAGGTATCGTCATCATCTACCGGACAGACTGATTTGCCTTGAAGCCACTCAAGCTGAAGAAAATGAGGGGACTTTGCTAGAAGCTCAAGATGGGAGGTGGGGGGGAGACCACCTCAAGATGGGAGGTGGGGGGGAGACCACCTAAAGTTACAAATTAGCGGCGATATCAGATTTCTATTTTTTTAATGCATTTGCATTTCCATATATATATCTAGAAACCATAGTAACTACACCAAAATGCATACATCAGTAATAACTACTTGGGGAGGTAAAATAGAAAATTTTTATTTCTGCTTATTTGTCACTATCCATTGATAATAATAATTTTAAAATGTACTGACATTTAATTATGACCCTAAAAATAACTTAAACTTAGTCCCATCCTTGTAACTATGCCCCGAGACCTGAGCAAAATGTTAAAAAAAATAAAATAAAAACGTTTTTAAATTTTAGGTTTTCAAAAACCTATCAATGGACCTTCAATTCTTCTCCAGAAAGCACTGAGAAGAAAATAAACATATCATGATATAGAAATAACCGGGTCACACATCAGACATTTTTCTAAACAAGAATTCCTGTCACTAGAATTAGGTTTTCATCCTTGAAGTAATGCACCACTAACACCGCATAAAAAACAGGACCTATGACTTAAAAACCACTCTTGCGGGCCTTGGTCTGACTCAGACATGTCACTGTCATGGGCCCAGAAATGAACTGATTGGTCACATTAAACGTTTTGACTGGTATTTTAATGTCTAACATACTTGTCAAGATTCCAGCAGTAATTGGTCCCACGATGCCCATCAACAGGATGCTTACAGACATGAACCTACCATATTTGTGATGTCTGAGGGTGAAGAGGGCCAGCAGTCCAGCGGGGACATGAAAGAAGAGAGAGGAGACCAGTGCCCACAGGAACACACCGTACCACATCTCTACAGGGAAGACAAACACAGTGCCATCAGTCCTGAGGGCTGCCTCTCACCTGCCGCCTTCCCATTTTGAAGAGCTTTTAAAATGCAGATTATTAGTCCAAGACTCGGATACAAGCATGTGAGAGCAAGGGCCAGCAAGCTATGGCCAGCAGGCTGCCCCCTGTTTGGAACGGAGAGCTTGACCAGAACACCGCCTCGTCCATTCAAGTCCAAGAGTCTCCAACTGTTGGCGGGCTCCAGTGGCACAAGGGAATTCCAACAGAGATCTGTGGGTCTCAAATCCTAAAATAGTTCCTCTTTGGTCTTAAAGGGAAAAGTGAGCCAACCTCTGATAAGCTACTTTACCCTCAAACATTGACGGAAAGAGAAAAAAAAATTTATATATATATATATTTTTTTTTTTTCATGATGTGATGTTGACTGATCTTTTTGATTAATCAGACTTCTAAAATAGAAAAGCCATACCATGATATTCATTCAACAATCATTTCAAAGGTGATTAAATATCAAGTTATTGCTTCCTATTAGGGTATCAAATTGCTGTAAGATGGAAAAGACACACCCCTCCACCTCCGCACCTTCACTGCAGGTTCGGAGGTTCGGGGGCTTAGCGACCCCAAAGGACCAAGCAGAACAACCCACAGGACCTTCTGCTTCCCAGCCAAGTACTTTAACCACTGCACTACCATGGGTTTTTGAAATCTATACCAGAAAATATATACATTTGGCTTGAGGAGAAATGACAAATGAGTGCCGGGACAGCCTGGGGAGCCTCTCTGGTACCTACAGGTCATCGTTAATCAGTCTCAGGAGGACAGTCAGTCGGGCTACATTAAAAACAGTTGACTATCAACTGTGCATAAAAATGATGCATGCAGCTGCTTGGAAAATAAATACTAAAAACAAGGAAAAACAGTCCTCAAGTGACTTAGAGGGCGAAGCTTCAGGAAGCGTGTGCTCCAGCTACCAGGGCGCACCTAGATAAAACCGGCTTTTCCATCCTGGGCTCCAGGCAGGGGAGTCACAGCATCTTAGAAGGGAGGACTAGGCTTGCCGGCTTCGCTGCTGACATCCGAGCCTCCTGCAGGCTCTGTTGCCCAGGCCACCCGGTGCCTTGGAGGGTGCGGGGCAGACTCCCTGGCCTCTAAACGATAGATGACAATAGTACTTCCCAGTTGTGACAACCAAAAAGGTCTCCAGACATTCCAAATTTCCCCTGGGGGTGGCCAAACTGCCCCTATTAAAACACGCTGGCTCGCCTCGCTGCAGCAAAGGGATAAATAGAAGAGTAAAGCAGTGAACGCTGGATCGAATATAAACTCGAAAGCCTCTTAAGAGGCGGGCCACGCATTTCTCAAGAGTGGGCAGGGCTTGAACCACTGTAACCACTGTGCCACCAAGGGCTCGAGGTCACATCACAGCACTAGGAGATTCCCCTCTGAAGCAGAACCGCCACCTTCACCCCCTTGGTCGGTGGCACCCTCCCACCATCACTGGACACTCGGAAGACGGAGCCTTCTAACAGAACTCTGCAGAAAGGTCATGAGGACCTGGGGCAAGCCAAGGCTCTGGGGTAGGCAAAGGGGATAGATACATCCTGGGCACTGTCTGCCACCACCGGCCAGAGACCACTTCTGGTTCCCTGCTGGAGCCGGCTGGCTGCCACAAACCATCGGGGCAGTGACACAGGGAGGCCAAGCCTGCATCGGACAAGACGAACTAAACTGGTACCATCCATAGGGGTGAGGTCTGGGACACTAAGGTGTACTACCTGATGCTAACCCGGTTCCCCTAGACCACAGCACCTGCCCAAGGACACCAACCAGCCCATAGCTTCGTTTCCCAAGGAGCGCAATGTTCTGCTTGCAAGCAGACCATGGAGCTGACCTAGCACTCCTTGAGGACAGGCAGGCGGCAGTCTGGCATGGACCACGTCCATGCGTCCATTACCTACTTCAGTGCCTATATATTTCAGACGGCGTCACTTAAGCCACTTCCACTGGGGAGGGGGGGGGGGAGGAACAGCTTGACTTTATTGGATGAGTAGTAGTTTAGAAAAACACTCCGACTTATATGGGTTTTTAAAAAAGTATTAAAAGCTTGTTGCAAAAATGAAAACAAAAACAAAAACCACTCCGACTGATGGGATTATTACAGAACTCTAAGAGCAAAAGGCAAACCCCAATCAATAAAAACACTATTAAAAAACAACAACAATCATTTCCCTTTAATCTACTGCACCTTAATTTGCCATCTATTTAATAGGTACTTATTGATCGGCATACTTTTCATTGCCCTGGCTCAACACAATATATAGAAAAAATCCTTTCAATATGTCCTAAGTATTTTCTTGTTAGCTGCTTCAAATCAAGTGGATTGTCCTCAGCTTTGTTTCCTTGAGTGACCGAAGTCCCTTAACTCCCTGAGGCTGAAGGGGAACTTAGACGATTCATTAATAAACAAGCACCTGAGACACACCTGAGTAAGCGCTGAACTAAGCAGACCCACATCCAAACCCTGCAGTCTGTGACTGTGCCAACTTGCATGGCAGAGGACATGTTGTAGATGTGATCAAGTGACGGATTTTGAGACACATTGATCATCCTGGCGTATATGCCATCACAAGGTTCTTTGTAAGAGGAATGTCAAAGCAAGAACGAGTTGAAGATGCCGTGCTGCTTGCTTTGAAGATGGAAGAGGCCACAAGCCAAAGAATGCAAGTGGCCTCTACGAGACAGAAAGGCAGCAGAGCCTTCAGAAGGAACACAGCCCCACTGTCACCTTGATTTTAACCAGAAAGACTCATTGAAGATTTCAGAACTGTAGGATAAAGAATTTGTATTGCATATTAACTTGGGTAAAGGAGAAGACAATATACAATAAGAGGGAGGTGAGCCAAAAATGATGGAGGCAGGGGAAGACACTGGAAGGAACACAAGAGCTAAAGGCAACAGAGACAAATAATGTTAGATGCACAGTCCTATCATAACAGGGATCCATCCACCTGTGAGTGCCTGAAGAGATACACAGGCCCAACAGAAATGGCACAGAGAGTGGGAGCACAGGGGGCTTCAAAAGTTCATGGAAAAACAGAAGTAAAAAATAATGGAATTTTCCAAGAATTTCTGAAGACCCTTTGTATGTCCATGCACATAGGCTTGACAGAGGCTCTCGCTACATGCTGCAAATGCATCCAGGAATGTGATGGAGCACAGAGGGCATTCAATTATGAAAATGTCTTAGGCATAAGGAAACACCTTGAGAGACTAAGTGATGGGGACTGGAAGCCCAGGACCATGGTCTCAAGGGACATCAAGGCCACCTGGCACAACATGCTTCCCAGAGACAATGTCCTACTTCCTATTCTGGAGAGTCACAGCTGAGATCATACTGGCCTCTCTCCCGGTTCAGAAAAAAGGAAGAGTGAAGAAAATCAAAGATGCATGAAAGCATTCATCCAGTGGCCACCGGAGCAGCTGCCTCCCTGACCTTGAGAACAGAAAGACTGGACGGTGCTGGACTCCCTCTACCAACTGCTCTCCTAAGGTTAGAAGGTCCTAGATAAAGTGGGAGGCAGACGTAGAATAAACTCAAACTACAAAAAGAGAGACAGATAGACCAAGCTTACTGGTCTGATAGAGACTGGTGGAATCCCGGAGACTATGCTCCTCAATCACCCTGCAGGTCTGGAAAGAAACTCATCAGTGTGGCTCAGTTTCTAGCCAAACATTAGACAAGTCTACAAGGGTACTACAACACGAGGCCGACATGCACACCTTCTAGACTCATCAACTACTTGAGATTAAAAGGGGAGCATTCAACCAAGGGCAAACTTCAGAAAGAAAGAGGAACAACAACAGAAAGGATATACAGAAAGGAAGTGGGATAAACGATGTGATGGTATATTGTGGGCACTGCAATCATTAACTTGAAAGTAAATTAAAAAATGAGTATGGGATGTATGGATTGTGTATGAGCCCCCAATAATATGATTTTAAAAAAAAGAAGAAGAAAGAAATGTGTCTGAAAAACACTTTCTGAAAGGTACATAAACTCCTTGGGGGCAGAGATCTTTTGTCTTTTTTAATCACTGGTGTGCCTGGGCTGTGGAATATTCTCACTTTTTTTTTACTTTAAGCTTAATTTATTCCCGAGCCATAAGTTTTTGCTTCTTCAGTTTCTTCTGGGAAATCTTTTTCTTCTGGGCAACCTCCTCTTCTGGTTTGGGAACGATGTGTTCCTTCGCAGTCAGGATCATTTCAGTGTGGCAGGGGGAGCTCATGGATGGGTTGATCCGACCATGAACTCTGTAAGTCTGGCGGCGCATCTTGGGGGCTTTGTTCACCTGGATGTGCTCAATGACCAGAGAATCCACATCTAAACCCTTCAGCTCAGCATGACTTTCTGCATTTTTAAGCATGTGAAGCAAACATCCAGCATTCTTTTTGGGCCACCGACCCTGGGTCCAACCCCACTGTTTGGCCTGTGCACACCTACCAACACCACCCTTGTAGCGTCGGAAAGGCACACCTGCTTCTGCACAGTCACGTATTTCAAGTGTTTGCTGGCTTTCCGGATGTGCATGCCTTTGATGGCCTGGGCCGTTTCACGGGTGCTCTTGAAGTGGACCCGGAGGGTCGACCTTCTTGATTTGCAGGATTTTGTGGGGTTTTCTGGCGAACCATTTTGGCAGGTCACCTCAGGCCGCTACAGTTAGAGCGGGCTCACACAACTCTTATCACAACCCATACATACATAGATTGTGTCAAGCACATTTGTACATTTGTTGCCATCATCATTCTCAAAACATTTGCTTTCAACTTGAACCTTTGGTATCAGCTCATTTTTTCCCCTACCTCCCTCATGAACCCTTGATAACTTATAAATTTTTTTTTTTTCATCTTACACTGATGATGTCTCCCTTCACCCATTTTTCTGTTGTCCATCCCCCTGGGAGAGGGTTATAGGTAGATCATTGTGATCGTTCCCCCTATCTCCCCCCATCTTCCCCTTACCCTCCTGGTATATCTACTCTCAAAATTGGTCCTGAGGGATTTATCTTTCCTGGATTCCCTGTTTCCAGCTTTTATCTGTACCTGTGTACATGCTCTGGCCTAGCCAGATTTGCAAGGTGGAATTGGGTCATGATAGAAGGGGCGAGGAAGCATTAAAGAACTAAAGGAAAGTTGTATATTTCATCAGGGCTATACTGGGTTTCTTGAGGGTGTGGCAGGGGAGGTTGGGGGGAAATGGGGAGGTAATAACAAGAAGGGAAAGTAATAATAATTTATAATTTAGCAGGGGTGCATGAGGGTGGGAGAGTGGGGGAGGGAGAGAAAAAAGAGGAGCTAATACCAAGGACTCAAGAAGAAAGAAAATGTTTTGAAAATGATGGCGACAACACATGTACAAATGCGTCTGATACAACTGATGTATGGATTGTTAATCAGAGCTGTAAGAGCCCCAATAAAATGACCTTTTAATAAAAAAAGAAGAAAACAAGAAAGAAAGAAAATGTTTTAAAATGGACTGTGGTAATGCTTGTATTACATATGGGTATGTCCCAATAGCAGTGTTTTAAAAACCAGTTGCAGTCTCAGAAACTACCAGGGCAGTCAGTTCTACGCTGTCCTGTAGGTCGCCATGAGTCGGCATCAGCTCGAAGGCAGTTGAAGATGGCTTTGTTGGCTTCTTTCCCCTAGTCCATCTTCCTTTCCCTCTCAGCACTGGCTGACCCCACTCCCCTGGGCTTTGGACAAGGCAGCTCTACTCCCTCGCCTTTGGGAGACGGCCTCATCTCTCTGGCATCCTTTTAATGGCACCCCCACATTCTAGAACAGTCAGTAAAGATCCCGTTCTTTGAATCCTATGAGGCTCTGGTCCCACTCTGTGGGATCCAGGAGACTTGGCCCCATCCTTTGTAACTGAGAAGGCCCTGCTTCCTGCGCACCTTCCAACAGTCCTGCTGATCTCCGAACTGCTACAGAGATGGTCCTTTTTTGCTTGGAAGAAAACGGACACGAAGCCCTTAACAGGCAGCATTCTTTCCTTTTCTTCTTTCTCTGTCGCCTTCAGTCCTAAGGGATGGGTGTCCTGCTGTGGTAGATGGCTAGATCCATCAGTCACTGGCTTAATCTTTTTAACAAGATGGTACAGCGTGCGCTAGGTGAACAATCTGGGACATGTGTCCTTAGTTTACTCTACAGGGCTTTCTAAATCTTTATGTTTGTGTTCCTCTTGCATAGTTTATCTCGTTCCTCCTGTATTTTACTCTATGTGGCATGGAAAAAACACGTGGCTCCTTACCCAAGTTCTTCATTTGCAAGTTCCACCTTCCACCAAAGATGCAAACACAGACAGGTTCTTTGTCATTCCATAAGAAAATATCACCCTACCTCCACTGTCCAATCATATGTTCATCGTCGTTTTGTTTGTAAGTCTCACCAGAAGCACATTTGACATCCACCTTTCCAGCAACTCTCCGTGGCTGGCATCTCTGTAGACTTTCCCGATGGCTTTGCCCATGTCCTCCTCAGCCCACAACAAAATTGCTTTTGACATCCATCATTCAACCAACAATCTCTTTTAGGCAATCTAAGCTTTAATGATTAGCCACCTTAGAACTCTTCCAGCCTTTGTATACTACTCTTCCAAAGTTACTTCTACACTGTA